ACTTTATGTCATGAATACAAAGCGTTATATTTGGGGCAAACACAACACATCACAGAGTACCCCTCTTCATATTTTCAAGCATGGTGGTGGCTGCATCATGTTATGGGTATGCTTGTCATCGGCAAGGACTAGGGAGTTTTTTATTGTGGATACAAATAAACGGAATAGAGATAAGCGCAGGCAAAATTCTAGAGGAAAACCTGGTTCAGCCTGCTTTCCAACAAACACTGGGAGACAAATTCACCTTTTAGCAGGGCAATAACCTAAAACACAAGGCCAAATATACACTGGAGTTGCTTACCAAGACAACATTGAAGGTTCCTGAGTGGCCTAGTTACAGTTTTGACTGAAATCGGCTTGAAAATCCATGGCAAGACTTGAAAATGGCTGTCTAGCAATGATCAACAACCAACTTGACAGAGCTTGAACATTCTTTTAAAGAATAATGTGCAAATATTGTACAATCCAGGTGTGCAAATCTCTTAGAGACTTACCCAGAAAGACTCACAGCTGTAATCGTTGCCAAAGGTGATTCTAACATGTATTGACTCAAGGGTGTAAATACTTATGTACATGAGATATTTCTGTATTTCATTTGTAAGAAATTAGCAAAGAATTTGAAAAATATGTTTTCACTTTGTAATTATTAAAATCTATTTAATCCATTTTGAATTCAGGCTGTAGAACAACAAAATGTGGAATAAGTCTAGGGGTATGAATACTTTCTGAAGGCACTGTGATGGTTGGAGATAAGGCTTGACAGTTATGGCCAGTTAGTCATTTAAAATAGAATATGTGGCTTGTTAAGTAGGTCATGAGATGAGTAGGATGAGACGGTACTCGTAAATTCAAATCAATAACTAATCTGCATATTAAAACAGAAAACAAATTACGCTCTATTTGTGGCTTGAAATACAACTAGGATAAGATCCTGGTCTTGTAGATAGAAACAGGCTGAATGCTAAATGTAGCCACAAATCGATTGAGTAAATGACCTTACTATAGGTTAATTTCAATCTTCTATATTAATTCACCAACCAATCAAGGTTTTTTCTACAAATACGTTTGGCACAAAGTGCATAGTTTTGCTTAGGAGAGACCACAAAGTTCAAAACCCCCAACTACAACACAGCCGACAGAGAGTGGCAAGGAACAACTCCCTCAGCCTTGATTGGAACAATCCTTTGCTTATCCTTCCACTGACATTGGCATATCTTCAATGCCAGCGTGTTGCTGCCTGACAGGCATCACCTGTGATGGGGTGGCAGTACCAGGCTCTGTGGAGGAGGTCAACCAGGGCAAGGCTCTGGTGTATTTCCATTGGCACAGTGTCTGGCTGGCTGTGATAAGAGTGCGCTAGCCCCCCCCTCTCTTTGTGTGTTCCCTACTCTTTATTTTGGAAATGCCGGCAGGCTGCATCCGGAGATCCCAGGCTCTGATTGGGATAGGGGAGGGCAGGATGGTGGAGGGAGGGCGGAGCAGGTACAGTGGCTTGCGAAAGTATTCACCCCCCTTGGCATTTTTCCTATTTTGTTGCCTTACAACCTGGAATTAAAATGGGGGGTTTGTATCATTTGATTGACACAACATGCCCACAACTTTGAAGATGCAAAATATGTTTTATTGTGAAACAAACAAGAAATAAGACTAAAAAACAGAACTTGAGCGTGCATAACTATTCACCCCCCCAAAGTCAATACTTTGTAGAGCCACCTTTTTCAGCAATTACAGCTGCAAGTCTCTTGGGGTATGTCTCTATAAGCTTGGCACATCTAGCCACTGGGATTTTTGCCCATTCTTCAAGGCAAAACTACTCCAGCTCCTTCAAGTTGGATGGGTTCCGCTGGTGTACAGCAATCTTTAAGTCATATCACAGATCCTCAATTGGATTGAGGTCTGGGCTTTGACTAGGCCATTCCAAGACATTTAAATGTTTCCCCTTAAACCACTCAAGTGTTGCTTTAGCAGTATGCTTAGGGTCATTGTCCTGCTGGAAGGTGAACCTCCGTCCCAGTCTCAAATCTCTGGAACACTGAAACAGGTTTCCCTCAAGAATTTCCCTGTATTTAGCGCCATCCATCATTCCTTCAATTCCTTCAATTTCCCAGTCCCTGCCGATGAAAAACATCATGGTGTTCTCGGGGTGATGAGAGGTGTTGGGTTTGCGCCAGACATAGCGTTTTCCTTGATGGCCCAAAAGCTCTATTTTAGTCTCATCTGACCAGAGTACCTTCTTCCATATGTTTGGGGAGTCTCCCACATGCCTTTTGGTAAACACCAAACGTCTTTGCTTATTTTTGATCTTATTTAGGGGCTTCATAGCAAAGGGGGTGAATACATATGCACGCACCACTTTTCCGTAATTTTTTTTTTGAATTTTTTGAAACAAGTTATGTTTTTCATTTCATTTCACCAATTTTGACTATTTTGTGTATGTCCATTACATGAAGTCCAAATAAAAATCCATTTAAATTACAGGTTGTAATGCAACAAAATAGGAAAAACGCCAAGGGGGATGAATACTTTTGCAAGGCACTGTAGGAGCTGGCACGGGATTCCCCTACACACACACACACTGCTGGCCCCATTGGGTAACTCTGGCTTGGATACACACACACATTGATACACACACATGCACGTACACCATATACACACACACACACAATCCCCCTACACACACACACACTTGACTATAGTTCCAGAATAATAAAATGCTATGTATAGAACAGAGAGCAATGGGATGAGGGGCTGAACAACAGAACTTCAGGGGAGGAGAGGAGAGAGGGGAAAATAAGACACTCTAAGGTCACACCACACAGGATGTGGAGAGGTTTCCAAAACCCAGGAAATTGTAGAGATTTTTTTTTCCAGGCTTAGGCTAACATTTGGTTTCTCTCACTGGCTTGGTTTGGCATCTTTTCTACAGTGATCCTAAGGCAGTTCTCATGTAGATAGAGAATTCTCACCACTGGCTTGTGAAATGCTAAATGGATGCAAGGATCAGGCTGATATTTGGTTAGAATAATTTGACACATTTTCCTGTATTATGTTTCCATCTCTGTACCTGAGCATTTGTAGGTGTATATGCAGTTGATGTATTAGAGTTGAGGTATACTTATCATACTTCTACATTTCCGTTGGCTCTCTCAGTAAATTGAAACTGATTTATCTGTTCCAGTGCCGTTCTACATGACTGTGCAAACATTGGAGAGTGTTTAGTCAGCCAAACCTTGATAGCTAGCTAGGTCAATGCACGACATGGGACCATCGCATTGTACCATGTTGTATAAAGTTAGGAAGTGACTGCCCACTTACCACTACACCATGTGAGGTCGACCCCTGATTGACCCCATGTTCTGGATTTCCCTGAATACCAGAGAGAAAGAGGTGAAGTGAGAGGGCTGACTCCGCCCCCAAATCGGTCTACTCGAGAATAAAGCCTTGAGCAGACCAAGTGGGGAGTTTTGTAGGGAGGTCAATGAGAGAGTGTTGAATTTAGTCAACATAAAATGTAATTGCTAATTTGCTACGTGAGGCTTATTTGATCAAATAGAGGTTTCGTAATGTTTAGGTTGTTACGAATATACTGATATAAGTGGATGCACGTGGCGTCCTGGCAACTTTGAGAGAAACTATTTTATTATTATTTTTGTGTGTGTATTTTACCCACTTTTTCGATCTTGTCTCATTGCTGCAACTCCCCAACGGGCTCGGGAGAGGCAAAGGTTGAGTCATGCGTCCTCCGAAACATAACCCACCAAACCGCACTTCTTAACACCCGCCCGCTTAACCCGGAAGCCAGCTTAACCAATGTGTTGGAGGAAACACCATTCAACTGATGACCAAAGTCAGCCTGTAGGCGCCCGGCCCGCCACAAGGAGTCGCTAGAGCATGATGAGCCAAGTAAAGCCCCCCCGGCCAAACCCTCCCCCAACCTGGACGACGCTGGGCCAATTGTGCGCCGCCCTATGGGACTCCCGGTCCCCGCCGGTTGTGACACAGCCACTACAGACCCGGGTCTGTAGTGACACCTCAAGCACTGCGATGCAGTGCCTCAGACCGCTGCGCCACTCGGGAGGCCCTGAGATAAACTATTTTATAACGGAGTTGTGCCTGTTGTTCACATGCGTATCTGCCCTCTCATTGGCCAGAATGTTTCCGCCTCCTCCCGCCTGCCTTCGCCTTTGCAGACATTTATTCCCATTGTTAGAGCAGACAGTCCAATATCTTGTCAATATATACATCATCTTTGAGGATACTCTGCGAATGGAGGTTAAACTCAACGACTGGCAGCCATTGTGGCTCCAGTAGTTTGTGTTAGCTGTTAGCTAGCGCTGGTTAATAGGTGAGTTATCTCAGGCCCCTGGTTCATTACATGGTCCAGGCCAATTTGGTGCAGAGATAATCATTAATAACTCTCTCAGACAGCTTTGATGTTAGTGTTGATGTCAGCTTCACTGTGATTTGGACATTTATCCCACAGTCTGTCTCTGTCTCTCTCTCTCTCTCTCTCTCTCTTCTGTCTCTGTCGCTCTTCTGTCTCGGTCTCTGTTTCTGTCTCTCGCTTTTCTGTCTCTGTCTCCCTCCCTCCCTCTCAGTGTTTGAGGTTGGCAGACTGTCTGTCAGCCTATGGCTCCGTCCTCAGGGGACAAAGCTCTCGTTCTTCCTGGGGAAAGCCCCTACCCCTGCCGGAATTCTCCCTCGCCTACGGACAGAGAGCAGATCCGGCACAAACACACAAGAGGGAAGGAGAGAGAGAGAGAGAGAGAGAGGGAGAGAGGTGTAGAGAAATGAAGAGAAGTGATAGGGTAAAAAGAGAGAGATTAACAGTAGAGACAGATTACCACTTTATGAATTACTGATCAATGTCATGCTACTAATGAATTTAGTCAAGCTGTCAATGCAGGTGAGGCCTTATTACGTAACATTGCCACTTTTCCTTTTGAAAAAATAACAACCAATATATGTTTCTAAGTACAAGCTACACTTATTGGAACGGCATGCCTCTGGAGAATGCAAATGTGTGTTCTCTGATAAGCTGCTGAGAAAGTGAAATAGGCCCACAGCCCTTCCTTGGTTGTGGTTAATGAAGTGCATGTCAGTGCTAACTCACCCACACTCTTGAGATGTAATGTAAATAGCTTGAGTTCCCCTAGATAAGGTAAGGCATTAGGAAACCTTTCTTCCCACAATGCAATGCAACAGAGCAGAAGATCTTGCTTCATATATATGTATCTATTGTAGACTGGGCCGGTAAATACATTTCTAGGTCGCTCCTGAGAGAGTCATTTCAGTAAGTGACTACCTACTCTGTTTTCTGAACAACAAACTATACCAAACAGAGTCCCGTTGCCATGGGGATGGAGCTGCTGTCTTGCGGGCGTCTGTTTGGTTGCTGTGTCTGTGTCTGGAGGTTGATTGTCTGGGGCTGGGCAGAGAGGCAGGTATCAGCTCTGGGTGTAGGAGTGCCATATGTCCATGTTCCCCTTATTCACAATGACAAGCAGGGACCACTTAACTACAACTGTTACAGTTTTTCTCGATTGTTTACACACATTTTCTGAAAGCATGCCTCATATTCTCAGAACTCTACACACAAATCAAAAAACACACACACAATGGGCAAAACCCCTCAATTCTCCAGCAAAATGAAACTTTACATTCAAAACAATGTTATTTCTTATCACAATGGTATTTTATTTTCAAATGACACACAAACCATCATATGAATAGACATTTATAAGAACCAGTTGAACACTGATGTGCTCAATGTAAAACACTATGATGAATGGAAAACACTTCTTCTCCATTCATCATAATGACTTTTGGTTCAGTGTTGCCATTACTACAGACAGTACATACATAAGTGTGTTGTAAAATATTTGAGAATATTGTTTTTATACTCCGAACACACGGTAACAAATATATTTAATTTTTCCCACAAAAACAATGTACACAGTGTACATCCCATTCCCAACCAACACAAAGTTGCACATACAGTGGTCTACATACAAAACAGAAGAATTTTATGTATACAGTTACAGTAAAAAAAATTTTAAAACTATGCTGCATCCTCTCTTCTGTTGCGGTCTGGCCACAGCACCTCATCCACATCACAAGCAATGTTTTGCCTGGCCAAGCAGCGGGGGAAATATCGCCTAGCATGGTGATTCCAGCCATGAAAAGCATCAGCTGCTATATCTCCACATGCGTCTTCCATAGCTTGGAGAAGAGGTACTGTATACGCGTTTGTGGATTTCGGTCATACACTTTGGGAGGAATGGAGAATATGGAGGGAGATAAACAACTGAAAAGCGTGGGTGGGCAGTGAACCAGTTACGAACCAGAGCAGCCCTGTGGAAACTTACGTTGTCCCAAATGACAACGTACCTGAGCTGCTCTGGGCCATCTACCTGATCTGGTGGAATGAGTGTGTTGTGTAGGGTCCAGGAATGTGATCAGATGGGCGGTGTTGTAGGGGCCAAGGGTAGCATGGTGATGGATGACGCCGTGGTGGGTAATCGCTGCACACATTGTGATGTTCCCTCCGCGCTGGCCAGGGACTTGAACAATGGCACGCTGGCCGATGATATTCCTTCCCCTTTTTCGTCTTTTTGTGAGGTTGAATCCTACCTCATCAATGAAGATGAACTGGTGCTCCACTGCAGCCACCTCTAGCTCAAGGACTCTCTGAAACACACATGACAATATCAGAAATAGACATGGAGTGGTCACTATTGTGAAGCACAATCATTATGATTACAATACTGAAATATGTATAATTTATACAGTGTTGAGAGTATGCATCAATTGTGGGATTGTATAGGACTCACTTGCACATAGTTATATCGCAATTCTTTGACTCTTTCTGAATTGCGTTCAAATGGCACCCTGTAGACCTGCTTCATCCTGAGATTATGTCTGCGCAAGACACGGTCCAGTGTCTATCAATATTTTGAAATATCTCATTGTTTTCTATTATTTTTCTTTGTATTTGCCGTAATGTTATGGCGTTATTTTCTAGGACCATGTTCATGATTTCAGTTTCCTGTTCAGGAGACAGAACACGTTCCCGACCACCTTGTGTTGGTAATCTTTCAGTTCTGCCAAACAAATAGTAAAATGCTGTAAATACAAAGTAGAAATACACTTCCCAAATACTTGAAACATACTTTATTTTTACAGTCCTACAGAACAGTCCACAGGCAATACTGTACTACTGTACTCATTGAGTACTGTATTGATATGCAGTACTGCAATTTTCTAGTGAGAGTAGATTTCTTACCTATTCTCATATCGGAATGTCCGGATGATGGATGCTACAGTGTACCTGCTCAAATTTGGCTGTACTCTTTGCCCAGCCTCCCTCATTGTTAGACCATGGTTGACCACATGATCAACCAAAGTGGCTCGGATCTCATCAGAGATTACGGTCCTTGGCCTTCCTCGTCCTTGTCCTCCCCGTCCTCCTCCTCTTACTCTCACTCCTCTGGCTCTGCCTCTGTTTCCAATGTTGGCATCCATTGCTCCAAAACAGAAGAGCTCACCTGTTGCCCTTTTATGCTGAAGCTCTGATTGCTAATTGTAAAACTGTGTGACGGGTGTTTGCCCATGTGATAAGTCAGTGTGCATATTTGAATGGCAGTGTGTTCATTGTGAAAACAAGAGATTTTCTGCATGAAAATTGTGCCAAATGCAAAGATTTGTGTGTAGTGTTTTGAAAAAAGTGTGTTGTAGAACTGCAATTTGAGTGTAAAGCAGGAATTGTGCTTGTAGTTTAGCAGAATTGGTTCAGGGGGTTGGTGCATGAGTTACATGTTGTGGTCATTGTGTCTCAAGTACCAGTATTTGTGTGTAAACAATTGAGAAAAACTGTAAGATAATGTTAAATTGGCCTACTACCTTCTACATAACGGTTATGGTAATGTTACATAGGCCTACTACCTTCTACATAACAGTTATGGTAACGTTACATAGGCCTACTACCTTCTACATAACAGTTAGGGTAACGTTACAGAGGCCTACTACCTTCTACATAACGGTTACGGTAACGTTACATAGGCCTACTACCTTCTACATAACGGTTACGGTAACGTTACATAGGCCTACTACCTTCTACATAACAGTTATGGTAACGTTACATAGGCCTACTACCTTCTACATAACAGTTACGGTAATGTTAGTAATGAGCACAAATGTGTACAAGGCCTTAGACTTCTAGTCTGCTACATCAGTTGGTGAACCTTGAACCTTGAACCTTGAACCCTGAGATATGTCATGCTATAGAAGTCAGTGGTCACACAGTTCACTGGTTATTGTTATAGCAGCCAATGATATTGAGTGGAGAATGCTGTGGTCATGTGGTGCGATGGGCCAAAGAGTGTCTGAATTAAGGATGCACTCTGCCTCATCACAGGAAGTGGAGGAAGACTATTGAGCATGCTACATTGCTAAAATCCTTTGTCTGTGTGAGTGTGTGTGTGACTGTGTGCACGTGCGCACGTCTCAACAGTTTTTATTTTAGTTACTGCAAGTCACGACCCTGGCAGACACCTCTGGGTGTCCTAGACTCTGTCCGTTTATTGGTCGATAACAATCAACCTTCTCTCACCGGAGCGACCAATTTGGCTAATTCACCCAAATATCCCACAGTCCTCTCTGGCTGTATCAATCATGAGAGCAACCTCACCCCTGTTAACCCCAGTTTCTAAAAATAGGATTAGTCTTAATGTGCATGATGAAGCGCAGCCCTTGTTTTGAAATGTGCTCAACACTAGCGACACTTGATGGATGGAATGGAGACTCGTTTTATTGTTGTTTACGTTTCGCTTACAATGCTAACAACTTTGACAAAGAAAAGTCTCCTGTCTAAAGTCTCATATCTACCCCATTTGGTTTGTTTTTCTCTAGTTACCTGATAACCTACGATTCTAAGACAATGGTTTTACTGTAAATCCTCTGAAGGAGAGAAAGTTAATAGAAGTCTGACGCACATAAATGAGAAAAACAGTATGATTCTTAGAAATACAAAATAGAGGTCAAGCGGGACAGACGGCATTTGTCTGGTTCTCATCAAACAATTTAATGCCATCAGCTCTCATAACTGTGTCTGTGCTCAGTTTTTAGGTACTCCTCCTAAGGCATCTCTGTGTTTACAATATGCATGTTTATTTGACGCTGTGTGTGATACTGTGTGGGGTGTGTTCCCTTGTGCATACGCCTGTGCGTTCCACTGTTCTCACCATCTTTCTAGTTGTTGAAGTGTGTGTGTGCGCGCCGGAGTGAGCACTGTGTGAGGGTGCAGAGGTTGCTGTTCATTGTGAGAGCTGAGCCTTTTCACGATACCCCACCCCACCCCAGACTCTTGTGATGCATTCCTTTGTAACGTCAAACACGGCACGCCGGCTGGGCTGCCAGGCAGAGCACAGGACGTCTACGGAGGGAGGGATCCAGAGTGTTTGTGGGTGAAACGGAGAGAGAGAGAAAGGGAGAAAGAAAACATGCACTTATACTCTGAAATAAACTGAAAGTGTCTGGAAATAGCGGAAGGCTTACTTCCCTGTAACACGTCAAATTCTTCCATAATTCTGACTCTCTCTGTCTTTTTCGCTGGACGTTGGGTGCTTGTCTTTCACCCTGAGGATGCCCATTTGGGCAGGGAAGGGGGAGGGCATGGAGTCAGTCACATCCTACCACATGTTTGGCTTATTTCAAGAGCTTCAACCTCTTCATCTCACACGAGAGAGAGCATATCCACCACAACTCTAAGTAGACACACTTTGGACACACCTACTCATTCAAAGATTTCTCTTTATTTTTACTATTTTTTACATTGTAGAATAATAGTGAAGACATCAAAATGCCAAGAGAGAATGCCAAGAGTGTGCAAAGCAGTCATCAAGGAAAAGGGTGGCTATTTTTGGTTACTACACAATTCCATGTGTGTTATTTCATAGTTTTGATATCACTATTATTCTACAATATAATTTTTTTTACAAATAAAGAATAACCCTTGAATGAGTAGGTGTGTCCAAACTTTTGACTGGTACTGTATAATGAAGGCCTCTCAATGCAGGTTGATTGTACCTGACATGTATTGCCCATGCATAGCTTAGCTAACCATCACATGAAGGCATGCAGGTATAGAGGGCAGGAAATACAGTGCTGTGAAAAAGTATTTGCCCCTTTCTAATTTTCTCTACTTTTGCCTATTTGTGATACTGCATATTATCAGATCCTCAACCAAAACCTAATATTAGATAAAGGGAACATAAGTGAACAAATAACACAACAATTCCATATTTATTTCATAAACAAAGTTATGCAACACCAAATTCCCCTGTGTGAAAAAGTAATTGCCCCCTTACACTCAATAACTGGTTGTGCCACCTTTAGCTGCAATGACTCCAACCAAATGCTTCCTGTAGTTGTTGATCAGTCTCTCACATCGCTGTGGAGGAATTTTGGCCCACTCTTCCATGCAGAACTGTTTTAACTTAGTGATGTGTGGGTTTTCAAGCGTGAACTGCTTGTTTCTAGTCCTGCCACAACATCTCAATTGGGATTAGGTCTGGACTTTGACTAGGCCATTCCAAAACTTCCAATTTGTTGCTTTTTAACAATTTTCATGTAGACTTGATTGTGTGTTTTGGATCATTGTCTTGCTGCATGACCCAGCTGCGCTTCAGCTTCAGCTCACAGACGGATGGTCTGACATTCTCCTGTAGAATTCTCTGATACAGAGCAGAATTCATGGTTCCTTCTATTAAGGCAAGTCGTCCAGGTCCTGATGCAGCAAAGCATCCCCAAACCATCACACCACCACCACCATGCTTGACCTTTGGTATGATGTTCTTACTGTGGAATGCAGTGTTTGGTTTTCACCAGGCATAATGGGACCCATCTCGTCCAAAAAGTTGACTCAAGTTTGCCAAAAAGCACCTGGATGATCATCAAGACTCTTGGACAGATGATTCAAAAGTATAACTTTTGGACGACATGGTTCCAGTAATGCCTGGCGAAAACCAAACTCTGCATTCCACAGTAAGAACATCATACCAAAGGTCAAGCATGGTGGTGGTGGTGTGATGGTTTGGGGATGCTTACCTGCCTCAGGACCTGGACGCCTTGTTGAGTGTTGAGGAAATATTTATTACTTTCTTCATTCCCACCTTCCTTTGAGGCCAGTACCAGTATGCGTGTACATTAAGGCTGACCCCAATTAGTCGACCGGTTGATTGTTTGCCCATTAAGCTGCTGGTTGACCGAGATTGTTTTAGTCGAGCAGTAACAAATATATATACAGTATTTGCGCCCATCCCAGTGAACTACTCCATTGCGGAGGCCTAGACTAAAAGCCAATGTATGTACCGCATCACCATGCGCCTCCCACATTTTGTAACAATGCGGTGGGCTCTGTATAGCTCTGAATAGCTCCGCATTGACATCCTGTATAAACACAAATTCACTTCCTTGACAACAGCTCTGCACTGCTCTGCGAAGCGCAAGAAGTATGAATGCCCTGACTTCTGCTGAGGCCATATCACCATAAATGCTGCATGGTTAATGCAGACAACGGATTGACCATGCGCCTAGATGCACAATGCACTTCTCTCTCCAGAATGTGCTCTCTCCCGCCGATTTGTGCACATTCATTGTTTCATAACTTCATTGTGTGAATTGTTTGCATTTGATTGTTAGTGTATATCAATTCCCCATAACATACAGTGCATTCGGAAAGTATTCAGACCCCTTGACTTTTCCCATATTTTGTTAGCTACAGCCTTACCCTAAAATTGATTAAATTGTTTTCCCCCCTCATCAATCTACACACAATACCCCATAATGACAAAGCAAAAACCGTTTTTTATAAATTTTTGCAAAAAAAAAAAAAAAAGGAAATATCACATTTACATAAGTATTCAGACCCTTTACTCAGTACTTTGTTGAAGCACCTTTGGCAGCGATTACAGCCTCAAGTCTTTTTGGGTATGACGCTACAAGCTTGGCACTCCTGTATTTGGGGAGTTTCTCCCATTCTTCTCTGCAGATCCTCTCAAGCTCTGTCAGGATGGATGGGGAGTGTCGCTGCACAGCTATTTTCAGGTCTCTCCAGAGATGTTCGATCGGGTTCAAGTCCGGGCTCTGACTGGGCCACTCAAGGACATTCAGAGACTTGTCCTGAAGCCACTCCTGCGTTGTCTTGGCAGTGTGCTTAGGGTCGTTGTCCTGTTGGAAGGTAAACCTTTGCCCCAGTCTGAGGTCCTGAGCGCTCTGTAGCAGGTTTTCATGAAGGATCTCTCTGTACTTTGCTCCGTTCATCTTTCCCTCTATCCTGATTAGTCTCCCAGTCCCTGCCGCTGAAAAAAATCCTCACAGCATGATGATGCCACCACCATGCTTCACCGTAGGGATGGTGCCAGGTTTCCTCCAGACGTGACGCTCGGCATTCAGGCCAAAGAGTTCAATCTTGGTTTCCTCAGACCAGAAAATCTTGTTTCTCATGGTCAGAGTCCTTTAGGTGCCTTTGGGCAAACTACAAGCGGGCTGTCATGTGCCTTTTACTGAGGAGTGGCTTCCGTCTGGCTACTCTACCATAAAGGCCTGATTGGTGTAGTGCTGCAGAGATGTTTGTCTTTCTGGAAGGTTTTCTCAGCTCCTCAGAGGAACTCTGGAGCTCTGTCAGAGTGACCATCGGGTTCTTGGTCACCTCCCTGACCAAGGTCCTTCTCCCCCGATTGCTCAGTTTGGCCAGGCGGCCAGCTCTAAGAAGAGTCTTGGTGGTTCCAAACTTCTTCCATTTAAGAATGATGGAGGCCACTGTGTTCTTGGGGACCTTCAATGCTGCACAAATTATTTGGTACCTTTCCCCAGATCTGTGCCTCGACGCAATCCTGTCCTGGAGCTCTACGTACAATTCCTTCGACCTCATGGTTTGGTTTTTGCTCTGACATGCACTGTCAACTGTGGGACCTTATATAGACAGGTGTGTGCCTTTCCAAATCATGTCCAATCAATAGAATTTACCACAGGTGGACTCCAATCAAGTTGTAGAAACATCTCAAGGATGATCAATGGAAACAGGATGCACCTGAGCTCAATTTCGAGTCTCATAGCAAAGGGTCTGAATACTTATGTAAATAAGGTATTTCTGTTTTTTATTTTTAATACGTTTGCAAACATTTCTAAAAACCTGTTTTCGCTTTTTCTTTATGGGGTATTGTGTGTAGATTGATGAGGATTTGTGTTTATTTAATACATTTTAGAATAAGGCTGTAATGTAACAATATGTGGAAAAAGTCAAGGGGTCTGAATACTTTCCGAATGCACTGTATATCACCAGTAGTACATTTACCCTTAATTCCTATAATTTCTAATCTACAATGTTTGTTACTTTGGTTCCGGTAATTTATTTTAATGCATTCAATATTATTATTCCCATCTTCCCTTTCTCATACTCGAAGTGGACAAATTGTTTGCAGAGCGCACAACCTATGCTACACTTGTGAGAAACAAGTTTTGGTTTATTTCATTCCATTTACGAGTTTTGCCAATTTAGTCATTGTCTTTTGTTTGGCGCACTCCTGTCAATGTTGAGTAAGGACACGCATGCATAGAAGTAGACCTATAGGCTACCTGGCCTGCGCGCAAATGTAAGCATATAAATGTGCCCATTTGGGGATCTGATAGTATTTCTGATTGGCTTAACACACCACCACTAATGACCTGTGGAGCTTCTCAAAGTAATGTTTTCTTCACCTTATACAGCAAGCAAACAAAGTCTGTTTTTGCATCCATTGAGAATGACAATAATTCCTCAATGTATTTGAAAAATCTTTCCAGCTCTCTCCCTTTCGATAACCACTCCGTGTGAAAGGGAAAAATGTAATGCTCTGCTCCAGTGGAAACGTCATAAAATAAAACTCATTTTGGGTGCTGGTACTGTTTATATTTAGGTGCAGGAGCTCCACAATACTTTTGAGCTAATATTCTATAAGAGGAACAGGAGCTCAAGCAGTAGAACATTTGAGGTGCAGGTACTCAGCTCAGGTGAGCTCCTGCCCAAGTCAAGCACTGCTTCTTATCCCTTGCGCAAATAGCCTACAGCTGTGTCTGTCTGTCCCGAGCTCACTGGCACAGGAAACTCTGAGGGCCCAGAATATTTTATAGAATGTTGCAAGTTCGCTAGTCAAGCCTCGGGCCAGACCCAAGTTAAAAGTTGATACAATGTTTGAAGTTCGTTGCAGACAGGCCATGTGTAGCCAATGTGATTTATAGGATATTTATTTTTATCAGGATATTTTCTACCTGCAGGCTGCAATTTTTTTCTTTGTTGGCTTTATGTAGGCTATTTTTTAAATAGTTGGCAATGGCAATAGAAGTAACTTTTTAGGTTTGTATCATTTCCATTTAAATTTGGATAGAATGTTGATTAACCACATGACAATGAGATATGAAGATGAACATGATGATATAAATAAATAAATAAATAAGATATAAATAAATAAATAAATAAATAAGGAACGTTTTTACTTTACTATGACTGTGATATGTGTTTGTTGTGCCTACCTTAAATGCACTAACTGTAAGTTGCTCTGGCAAAGATCGTCTGCTGCATGTCTAAAATGTAAAATGTGAAGGAGGATGTCTCAATAAAAACGTCTCTCTTTCTTTCTTTCTTTCTTTCTTTCCTTTCTCTCTCCCAGTCCTCCTGGCCCAGCCTATGGAGAATGATTGTATGGAAGGGATAACTCTGAAGATCACAGACTTTGGCCTGGCACGGGAGTGGCATAAGACCACAAAGATGAGCACAGCAGGCACATATGCCTGGATGGCACCCGAGGTCATCAAGTCCTCCACCTTTTCCAAGGGCAGCGACGTTTGGAGGTAAGGTGGTTGGTGTGTGTATGTGTGGTAAAGCAGTGCAGAAGCAATATCCAGCAATAAATAGCTACTTACCTCTACCATTACAAAACTGTGTGTATGTTTTGTAATGGTACAATAAGGGTTCAATTAAAATACAGATATATGACGAGACTATTTATGGGCCAGGACTGTGTGTGAGTGTGTAGGAACTTGTCCTCCACCTTCTCTAACAGTGATAGAATAGAGGGAGACAGTGGGGAAAAAAAGTATTTAGTCAGCCACCAATTGTGCAAGTTCTCCCACTTAAAAAGATGAGAGAGGCCTGTAATTTTCATCATAGGTACACGTCAACTATGACAGACAAAATGAGAAAGAAATCCAGAAAATCACATTGTAGGATTTTTAATGAATTTATTTGCAAATTATGGTGGAAAATAAGTATTTGGTCAATAAGAAAAGTTTCTCAAAACTTTGTTATATACCCTTTCTTGGCAATGACACAGGTCAAACGTTTTCTGTAAGTCTTCATAAGGTTTTCACACACTGTTGCTGGTATTTTGGCCCATTCCTTCATGCAGATCTCCTCTAGAGCAGTGATGTTTTGGGGCTGTCGCTGGGCAACACAGACTTTCAACTCCCTCCAAAGATTTTCTATGGGGTTGAGTTCTGGAGACTGGCTAGGCCACTCCAGGACCTTGAAATGCTTCTTACGAAGCCACTCCTTCGTTGCCCGGGCGGTGTGTTTGGGATCATTGTCATGCTGAAAGACCCAGCCACGTTTCATCTTCAATGCCCTTGCTGATGGAAGGAGGTTTTCACTCAAAATCTCACGATACATGGCCCCATTCATTCTTTCCTTTACACGGATCAGTCGTCCTGGTCCCTTTGCAGAAAAACAGCCCCAAAGCATGATGTTTCCACCCCCATGCTTCACAGTAGGTATGGTGTTCTTTGGATGCAACTCAGCAGTCTTTGTCCTCCAAACACGACGAGTTGAGTTTTTACCAAAAAGTTATATTTTGGTTTCATCTGACCATATGACATTCTCCCAATCCTCTTCTGTATCATCCAAATGCACTCTAGCAAACTTCAGACGGGCCTGGACATGTACTGGCTTAAGCAGGGGGACACGTCTGGCACTGCAGGATTTGAGTCCCTGGCGGCGTAGTGTGTTACTGATGGTAGGCTTTGTTACTTTGGTCCCAGCTCTCTGCAGGTCATTCACTAGGTCCCCCCGTGTGGTTCTGGGATTTTTGCTCACCGTTCTTGTGAACATTTTGACCCCACAGGGTGAGATCTTGCGTGGAGCCCCAGATCGAGGGAGATTATCAGTGGTCTTGTATGTCTTCCATTTCCTAATAATTGCTCCCACAGTTGATTTCTTCAAACCAAGCTCCTTACCTATTGCAGATTCAGTCTTCCCAGCCTGGTGCAGGTCTACAATTTTGTTTCTGGTGTCCTTTGACATCTCTTTGGTCTTGGCCATAGTGGAGTTTGGAGTGTGACTGTTTGAGGTTGTGGACAGGTGTCTTTTATACTGATAACAAGTTCAAACAGGTGCCATTAATACAGGTAACGAGTGGAGGACAGAGGAGCCTCTTAAAGAAGAAGTTACAGGTCTGTGAGAGCCAGAAATCTTGCTTGTTTGTAGGTGACCAAATACTTATTTTCCACCATAATTTGCAAATAAATTCATAAAAAATCCTACAATGTGATTTTCTGGATTTATTTTCTCAATTTGTCTGTCACAGTTGACGTGTACCTATGATGAAATGTACAGGCCTCTCTCATCTTTTTAAGTGGGAGAACTTGCACAATTGGTGGCTGACTAAATACTTTTTTCCCCCACTGTATGTGCAGGAGGGTACAGCCATGTGATAGCAGCAGTGATAGAATAGAGGGATATGTTGCAGGAGGGAAACAGCCATGTGATAGCAGCAGCACTTCATAGCCTGCTCTGTGCTTTGTGTGAGACGTGTCGTGCACACTGTCCTATTGTTCACCAGTACGGAGAGAGTGAGAGAGTAGGGTGGAAGGCCACACTGCAGACCTGACCGCAGCCCTTTATCTGTGAAGGGTGTGTGTGTGGCTGTGTGTGGCTGTGTGTGGCCAAGCACAGGATGTACATTCAAAATGGCACTCCATGGATCCAACACACACAAATGTCTCTCTCACACTCTCCTTGGACACTTAACTATTCCCAAACTAGCTTTTTCCGTTTTAGCTTCATAACAGACACTTTGCATATCTTAATGAGAGGGTGGTGGAACCTGCTATGAAAATGAGGGGTAATCTTGACCCCCCCCTATTCTTTTTCATCCATCTCCTTGGTTACATCCCAAATGGCTCCCTATTCCACATAGGTAGTGGAATGGCTCCCTATTCCAAAGTAGTGCACTATTTAGGGAACAGGGTGCCATTTAGGATGCAACACTTCACTTCTTCTTAATCATAAAGCTGTAGATCTCAGATGATGAGGTAAAAACAGAGCAGTGGAGAGGCACAGTCTCTGTTGGATGGTGTTATTAAAGGACTATATCAAAACGCTGAAGGCTACACCCCCCACTTACAGGCAGCCTACAGGCCTTTTAGAGGAGTTTGTGTGTTGATTGAATGGATGTAATTGACAGTGTGGGAGATCCAAGCACTTTGCCACTCTGAGGATCGGCAACGTCCTGTGTGTGTGTGTGTGTGTGTGTGTGTGTGTCATATATATGGGGAAACCGTCCTATCATGTTTTTGTTGTTTGTTGTAGTAAATTGTAAAAAAGTGTATTGCTTTCTACCCTATTTGTCTTTATGCATGATGTTTTATAGAAGCATAATGCACTTCCATGAGCGCCATTATTGCATATAAATAAATGCAAAATAATAATAATATATTGCACAGTTATCTTCCCTCCACTTCAGCTGTTGATATAATTTGCATGCTTTGTATGTGTGATGCTATACGTACATAAAACAAACCCCTCCTTGAGGTGCCCCAGCCATTCCACATATTTGTTCCAACACTGGCACACACCTGATTCAATTTGTCAAGCAATGACTTCTTGATTAGTTCACTAATTGAATCAGGTGTGCTAATACCAGAGACGGCGAGGAAGGGAGATATCCCACTTGCTGTTTTTTTCTGGTTCAATGAAAGTCAATGGACTAAGTCAGGGGTTCTCAAACCTCTCCTCGGGGACCCCCAGCCGTTCCATATGTATTTGAACTATTCCACAGCTCGCGCACCTGATTCAAAATGTCAACTAATCATCAAGCCCTTGATTAGGTGAATCAGTTGAGTTAGTTCAGGGCTACGACTAAATTGTGAAATGTCTTGGAGTCCCCGAGGAGAAGTTTGAGAACCACTGAACTAAGTACACCAAATCCAGCTGCTATTGCATTGGTGTCTATGGGAGACCCACCCCGTTAAGTATACCGGAACTGACCATTTTCTTCAATGGCAAACAGCCTGAGGGAACCATCTTCCTTTATCCACCATATTTGCTAGTACTAGAAGGACCAGGGACTGGCTTGATAAACTGCCCGAACCTTCCATTGAAGGCTCCTTGCTCTCCCTCTCTCCTCCCCAGCTATGGTGTTCTATTGTGGGAGTTGCTGACAGGGGAGGTTCCCTACAGGGGGATAGATGGTCTGGCTGTGGCCTACGGAGTGGCTGTCAACAAACTCACCCTCCCCATCCCTTCCACCTGCCCAGAACCCTTCGCCCAGCTCATGGCAGGTAAGAGTCCTGTGTGTGTGTGTGCTCGTGCGCGCACTTGTGTGTGTTGAATTTGGTGTTACCATAATGCTCTCTCTCTCTCTCGCTCTCTCTCTCTCGCTCTCTCTCTCTCGCTCTCTCTCTCTCTCTCGCTCTCTCGCTCTCTCGCTCTCTCTCTCTCTTTTTCCTCAAACCTGGAGGAGAAATTTGTCACATACAGAAAGAACACTGAGCAGCTGATATGTTGTGCAATATATTTTGGCTGCCGTTCATATATTTTCTGAAGGATATTGTTGGTTTGAGGTTGTTGTTGATTTGCTGTGCCAGTTGTGTTGGTAGTGGTAAAGTTTGATAAAAGCACAAAAGAAAAGTCACTGTCCCAATTATTGTCATGGTATCAGTCTTGACAATGCCTTGTCAAAATTCTGCTAAAATACAACCATAATAGTTGGAGAGTTTGTGTTTGAATTGTGTCATGATCTGAATGCAATCCTGCACTTATAGCTAAACGTCCCATGATTATGCTTTGGTAGTGGAGCAACTGTAATTTGCATGTTATTATAATTTATATTAACTGAGTATTTCTGCCTTGACAGAGTGCTGGGATCAGGACCCACACCACAGGCCCAACTTTGCCTCCATCTTGGTTCAGCTAACGGCTCTTGAAAGGCAGGTCATGGAGGAGATGCCTCAGGACTCCTTTCATTCCCTACAGGAGGACTGGAAACTGGAGATCCAGGACATGTTTGATGAGCTCAGGGCCAAGGAGAAGGTGAGGCAGACAGAGCCGGCTGTCTTTTCTATTAGAGAGAGGCTTGGAGAGTAGGATTGTATGATGATTATTTTGTGTGTTCGGATGGTGCATTTGTGATGGGTATGTATGTAGGACTATGAGTGTGCGTGTTTATGCATGTTTATACATGTTTATGCATGTTATTACATGTGCACTGAACATTTTGTAATGGTATTTGTGTAAGTGTGTGTTTGCATAGTAAAACAACAATAACCAGTAATAAGATGGTAATAACTCCAGGAGCTGCGTTGTCGCGAGGAGGAGCTGAAGCGTGCAGCGGTGGAGCAGAAGTCCCACGAGGAGTTCCTGAGGCAAAGGGAGCAGCAGCTGGCCCAGTGGGAACAGGACGTGTTTGAGAGGGAGCTCAGTCTGCTCATCCTGCACATGAACAACCAGGAGAAGCCCAACGTCAAGAAGAGGAAGGGAACCTTCAAGAAGCACAAGCTGAAGGGCAGCAAGAATGGAGAGAAGATCAGCATGCCTCAAGGTGAGGGGACGGGGATGAAACTTGCTTGGGATGTCTTGAAATGTCTCTCTACACAAGTTCCAAAAAGGTTATTCGGTTGTCCCCATAGGATAACCTTTCTTGGTTTCAGGTAGAACCATTTTTGGCTTCAGGTAGAACCCCTTCGGGTTCAATGTAGAACCTAAAAGGGTTCTACTTGGAGCCAAAAAGGGTTCTTCAAAGGGTTCTCCTATGCGGACAGCCGAAGGACCCCTTTACGTTCTAGATGGCACCTTTTTTTCTTAGAGTACAGTGGGGAAAAAAAGTATTTAGTCAGCCACCAATTCTGCAAGTTCTCCCACTTAAAAAGATGAGAGAGGCCTGTAATTTTCATCATAGGTACACGTCAACTATGACAGACAAATTGAGGAAAAAAAATCCAGAAAATCACATTGTAGGATTTTTAATGCATTTATTTGCATATTATGGTGGAAAATAAGTATTTGGTCACCTACAAACAAGCAAGATGTCTGGCTCTCACAGACCTGTAACTTCTTCTTTAAGAGGCTCATCTGTCCTCCACTCGTTACCTGTATTAATGGCACCTGTTTGAACTTGTTATCAGTATAAAAGACACCTGTCCACAACCTCAAACAGTCACACTCCAAACTCCACTATGGCCAAGACCAAAGAGCTGTCAAAGGACACCAGAAACACAATTGTAGACCTGCACCAGGCTGGGAAGACTGAATCTGCAATAGGTAAGCAGCTTGGTTTGAAGAAATCAACTGTGGGAGCAATTATTAGGAAATGGAAGACATACAAGACCACTGATAATCTCCCTCGATCTGTGGCTCCACGCAAGATCTCACCCCGTGGGGTCAAAATGATCACAAGAATGGTGAGCAAAAATCCCAGAACCACACAGGGGGACCTAGTGAATGACCTGCAGAGAGCTGGGACCAAAGTAACAAAGCCTACCATCAGTAACACACTACGCCGCCAGGGACTCAAATCCTGCAGTGCCAGACGTATCCCCCTGCTTAAGCCAGTACATGTCCAGGCCCGTCTGAAGTTTGCTAGAGTGCATTTGGATGATCCAGAAGAGGATTGGGAGAATGTCATATGGTCAGATGAAACCAAAATAGAACTTTTTGGTAAAAACTCAACTCGTCGTGTTTGGAGGACAAAGAATGCTGAGTTGCATCCAAAGAACACCATACCTACTGTGAAGCATGGGGGTGGAAACATCATGCTTTGGGGCTGTTTTTCTGCAAAGGGACCAGGACGACTGATCCGTGTAAAGGAAAGAATGAATGGGGCCATGTATCGTGAGATTTTGAGTGAAAACCTCCTTCCATCAGCAAGGGCATTGAAGATGAAACGTGGCTGGGTCTTTCAGCATGACAATGATCCCAAACACACCGCCCGGGCAACGAAGGAGTGGCTTCGTAAGAAGCATTTCAAGGTCCTGGAGTGGCCTAGCCAGTCTCCAGATCTCAACCCCATAGAAAATCTTTGGAGGGAGTTGAAAGTCCGTGTTGTTGCCCAGCGACAGCCCCAAAACATCATTGCTCTAGAGGAGATCTGCATGGAGGAATGGGCCAAAATACCAGCAACAGTGTGTGAAAACCTTGTGAAGACTTACAGAAAACGTTTGACCTGTGTCATTGCCAACAAAGGGTATATAACAAAGTATTGAGAAACTTTTGTTATTGACCAAATACTTATTTTCCACCATAATTTGCAAATAAATTCATAAAAAATCCTACAATGTGATTTTCTTTTTTTCTTTCTCATTTTGTCTGTCATAGTTGACGTGCACCTATGATGAAAATTACAGGCCTCTCTCATCTTTTTAAGTGGGAGAACTTGCACAATTGGTGGCTGACTAAAAACTTTTTTTCCCCACTGTATGTACTCCAGCATTTTGGATTGAAGATTAAATGTTTGAGGTGACAGTACAGAATGTCACCTTTTATTTGAGGGTTTTTTCATAAATATCTGTTTTACTGTTAAGAAATGTAAGCACTTTATAGATCTATTCCCCCCATACTATTAGTGAATTTGTCCAAATACGTATCACACCTTGAAATGGGGAGACAGATATGTATGAAAATACCCTCAAATAAAAGTTGACATTCTGTACTGTCATCTCAAACATTTAATCTTAAATCCAAAAGGCTGGAATATAGAGCCAACTTAAAAATTTAAATAAAAAGCATCACAAATACATACGTAGAGGAATTGGTCATTTGGTTTAATGGTTGCTCGGTCTGTGAGACGGGCAGGCACATAGGCAGAGAAAGAGTCAGTCAGTCAGTATACAGTACATGTCATTCACCTCAGCTCACCTCACACTCCTTCACTACTGTGTCAACTGAGTGTGCAGAAGAATCATATACCCGTTATCTGCTGTAGATTCACTTTCTCTTGTAGACAACTCCCATTGTCTACTGATAAGAAACTCACCATAGAAACAAACATGCTGTACACTCATCATGCCTAAACAGAGGCACTCAGAGTTTCTCATACAGATACTCTCCCTCTTTCCAAATGCACACAGACTTACTTTGTGTGTGTTCACTAGTGTGTGTGTGTGTGGAGGCTGTGGTCAGGCCATTCCCAGCAGCAGGGTAGTGATTTGATGGGGGGTTGATGAGAGGGACATGGAGCTAACCCAACCACGCCTCTGGGCTTCCTGTCACTCCTGGCTGGCCCTTCTCTCGCTCTCTTTTTCTCTATTTTTCTCTCTTTTTCTCTCGTTCTCTCTCTCTCTCTCTCCTCCAACTCTAACTTATTTCTCCCTTCCAGCTATATCTCTCGTTCCCAGCTTTTTCTCTCTCACTCCCTGTCTCTCTCTCCCAGCTGTTTCTTCTTTTTTCCCCCAGCTCTCCTTTTCCTTCTTGCCTCTCTCTTCTTCTCTCCCAGTACTTCCACACCCAAGGTATCCTACGACGCCAAGCTAGCCGAGGACAGACATCCTTCAGGCCTGTTTTCGTTTACTTTGGCCTCACAAATGACCATTATCTCTCACAAATGACCATATTCTCTCACAAATGACCATATTCTCTCACAAATGACCATATTCTCTCACATAATACCATATGATCTCACAAATTACCATACACTCTCACAAATTACCATATTATCTCACATATTACCATATTCTAATGGCATGAAAAGGAAATTCAGACACCCATGCCACCACATAAAATAAATATTTATTTCCAAGGTAAACAATCTTGTTAAAGATTGTTAGTTCCTTTGTCTTTGTTTGAATCTGGGTCGAGTTCAGTGGGCCACACTGTAGCAAAACACTTTTCACCTGTAAAATCAATGTGTTCTTATTGGACGAAGCTAACGTAGTACCTCCCCGTTTTACTCTGTTTCAAAACGTTTCCTCCCTACTGAACAGGACCCCAAATTTTGATTTTATGATTTATTTTCTGTCTGTGTGGTCTGGTCTCACATCTAGTGTATGTCTCTTCCAGACTTCATCCATAAGATCACTGTCCAGGCGTCTCCAGGGCTGGAGAAGAGACGCAACTCTCCCGATCTGGGCACCGGCACCTCTCCCTCCTTCGGCCCACGCTTCCGAGCAATCCAACGTGAGTGTGGTCTACACACACACACACACACACACACACACACACCATCCTTTTTTCACCTCTACACGCTCACTTCACTCCGCCCTTACATTCTCTGTCGCTTTCCCTACAGACTTCCTCTCTCCCTCTTACACACCCTCTCACAACAATACCTGTTCCAGTCCAAATATTATCTCTTCCTTTCTTTTAATCATGGATCAACAGTGTATTTGCTTTAGCCTTCAGTTCTCTCTATCTGCAATGTCCTCTTTCTACCAGCTAGGGGAGTCTTTGCTCCATGTCTTACAATGACAAAAATAATCTCCTCATCTTTTACAAGCATGTGCTGTTACACATTGCCTTTTTACTGAATAAGAAACCAGCTAAATTCATTGGTCTCTGTGAGGCTGTGTGTCACATTGCTAAGTAGGAGTGGAGGTTAACAGCACTGTTCTGGAGTCAGCGCTAAAGACAAATTACATTATAATGACTGTTTCCCCTTAGTGGGAGAATACTCCCCATAGATCAGTTCCTATTCTACACCTACAGGAATTTGCTGTGTCCCAACAGACTTAAAGGGGTTTTCCCAAAATGCCCATAAAATAGGCCTAACCACAATGGTTGAGTTTAAAAGTACAATTAAGATCGCAATTTAATTTATATTACATTTTTTATTGGTTTAGCGGTTTCCGAAAACATCTGTTTGATTTATTTATGCGTTAAAAAGTGGGTTGGATTCATGCCTCTGTAATCATTCGTAGGCTTAATGGTAATTTTTAGGGCTCTGTGTGCGGTTGTCATTAAAATGTATTTCCTTATTTAGCGAACATCTGTGCTAGCAATGTCACGGCAGACAATGACTTACTGAACCCAGGGGCCATATGGGTAGAATTGTGTTAGCGCTTTAGCGTCTTAGCATCTTCGCACTGTATCAGCCCATAGAGATTGCAGCGATGTCGTGAATGACTAACGTGACAGCAGTTTGCATCTCGGAGTCAGAACCCCCTTTGGGACGGGAAGACTGTTGTGTGACGGTGCTGCGAGAGCTGCTGAGTCATGCAGTCAGTGTTTGTTTAACATTAGCGTAGCTGAGTTAGCATCTCTGGCCCAGAGGGGATGAGAAAGTCTGCTGTAAGTGTGCAGCACCAGGTGGAGTCTCACTTCTATTATTGCCCGCTTTGATCCCCCATTTTCTGTCGCTCCCCCGCACTCCCCTCTCTTCCCAAACTTGTCTCTCTCTCTCTCTCTCTCTCTCTCTCTCGCTCTCTCTCTCTCTCGCCTCTCGCTCTCGCTCTCTCTCTCTCTCTCTCTCTCTCTCTCTCGCTCTCTCTCTCTTTCCAGTCAGCCCTAGTGAGAACAGCAGGGCGTTTGGTCTGAGCTCCATGTGGCCCCTGGAGGCCCCTCCACACAACAAGCAGGCCAACGGGGACCGGCTGGGCCCCCACTGGAGGCCCCAGAGCCCAAAGAGCCCCAAGAGCCCCAAAGTCCTGCGCCTCAGCCCCCAGGAGAGCAGGTAGTAACCCCCTCGCCTCTCCCTTACACCCCTCTATACACAGGGCCAGATATGAATCAGATATGGAACATTGTTTGGCACTGTATTGGCTGAAGCAGAACTATTGTGTTTTAAAGCAATTTTGTATGTTCCAGTCTTTCAATGAGAGCCAAGCTTCTAGACATGGACAGCAATGAGAACGGAGAATCCAAGGATGACTTTGAGGAGTACAGACCCTCCACGCCTGCCCAAAACGGTATGCTCTTCACCACTACCAGAGTTACTTTACCATATTCACACACACACACCACCACTATCGTAACTAATTGGGTCATAGCTGATTGTAAATTGTGCTAAATTAGTATTCTGTATGCATGAGCTGACCAACCTACCCCTCTCCCTCTCCTCCCCAGGCTCCTTGGTGAAGGAGCCCCCAAGGCCTACTCTACCACAGGGGGACTCGGGCAGTGAGGAGGGGCTGGAGGGGGGCTCCCCGGCCGGCTCCCCCAGGCCTGAGCACCGCTCCCTGGGAGGCCTACTGAGGAGCACCCACCGGGCCCTACTGGGCGGAGGCTTCCTCCTGGCCTCTGTGGCCCTGGGACGACACCTGGACGTGCCCCACATCCCCCCCAGGGTTCCCCCCCGGACTAACCCCCAGCCCCTGGACCACCACCACCTTCCGCAGGAGGTCACCATCACGGCCCCCAAAATCCCCTCCTCCTCAGACCCCCCGGTGGTGGATGACCTAATAACCTTCTCCAGCTTGGAGCACCTCCCCCGGCCCCTCTTCGACTTCCCCTGCGCCCTGCACGCCCCCGGGGTGAAGCCCCTGCCCCTCACGCCACCTCCGCCTCACCCACGGGAGAGGACCTGCCACAGGCACGCCCAGACCCCTCAAAGCCCTCAAAGCCCTCAGAGTCCCCAGACCCCCCGGAGCCCCTATTACCAGGTCCAGAGGCAGGCTAGCCCAGCAGAGTGGGCCCCGTCCCCCCACCACACAAACGGGGAACCAGGCTGTGACGCCTGGGGCCAGGGGTCAGACAGGAGGAGGAGGTCCAGCCAAGGCCTGCTCTCTGCCTCTCAACTAGGTGAGTGTATACGCACACATGCACAAAAACAGACACATGCATGCATGCACGCAACACACACACACCCCACCCCACTTCCCCCTACAGACTCCAGACAGGGGATTTTTGTTATTTACTCATTACAAAGCAAAAACACACATCTCACCCATATGCATTGTGTGTGGCTTACGTAGCAGCAGCTCTGACACAGTTATAATGATGCTGGAGCAGGAGCACAGTAAAGGTAAGAGATTCTCACAGTGAGTTAAGGGCTGTTTTAAAGAGTTGCCCTCCGGGGCCATTTTATATGCTAACTTCATATCTAGTCTTGTCTGTGTCACACAACAGTGTTCTCGCTAAGGATGCCATCGTAGAACTGCCTCGAGACCTTCATCAAGCCTGTCTCTGCTTGTAATACTGCTAATAACTATCATCTTCAAATCAAGCAACTCATCACAAGATGCACGTAGAGTCAAAAGCTACATAAAACAAATTACAATGCTATTACCGTATACCGTAATATGTTACGTTTTATTAGCGGTAATGACCCCAAAAATAACAAGTTGTTGTAAAGTTTTTGGCAGCAACTTGTTTGCATAGAAGAAGAAAAAAACTCTGAACACTGCACAGCAATTTGATTGTACTCTCATGGTAAGCTCAATATGGCTGTGTAATTGTATTTCTATGATTCTTTAGGCTGCATCCCAAATGGCACCGTATTCCCTATATACACTGAGTATACATTTAAATTGTACATTTTCGTCATTTAGCAGACGCTCTTATCCAGAGCGACTTACAAATTGGTGCATTCACCTTATGATAGCCAGTGGGACAACCACTTTACAATATATAAAAAAAAAAAAACATTTTTGGGGGGTAGGGGGAGAGTAGAAGGATTACTTTTATCCTATCCCAGGTATTCCTTAAAGAGGTGGGGTTTCAAGTGTCTCTGGAAGGTGGTGAGTGACTCTGCTGTCCTGGCGTCGTGAGGGAGCTTGTTCCACCATTGGGGTGCCAGAGCAGTGAACAGTTTTGACTGGGCTGAGCGGGAACTGTGCTTCCGCAGAGGTAGGGGGGCCAGCAGGCAATGCCCTCGTTTGCCCTCGTTTGGGTGTAGGGACTGATCAGAGCCTGAAGGTACGGAGATGCCGTTCCCCTCACAGCTCCGTAGGCAAGCACCATGGTCTTGTAGCAGATGCAGGCTTCAACTGGAAGCCAGTGGAGTGTGCGGAGGAGCGGGGTGACGTGAGAGAACTTGGGAAGGTTGAACACCAGACGGGCTGCAGCGTTCTGGATGAGTTGTAGGGGTTTAATGGCACAGGCAGGGAGCCCAGCCAACAGCGAGTTGCAGTAATCCAGACGGGAGATGACAAGTGCCTGGATTAGGACCTGTGCTGCTTCCTGTGTAAGGTAGGGTCGTACTCTGCGAATGTTGTAGAGCATGAACCTACAGGATCGGGTCACCGCTTTGATGTTAGTGGAGAACGACAGGGTGTTGTCCAGGGTCACGCCAAGGTTCTTTGCACTCTGGGAGGAGGACACAACGGAGTTGTCAACCGTGATGGCGAGATAATGGAGTGGGCAGTCCTTCCCCGGGAGGAAGAGCAGCTCCGTCTTGCCGAGGTTCAGCTTGAGGTGGTGATCCGTCATCCACACTGATATGTCTGCCAGACATGCAGAGATGCGATTCGCCACCTGGTTATCAGAAGGGGGAAAGGAGAAGATTAATTGTGTGTCGTCTGCGTAGCAATGATAGGAGAGACCATGTGAGGATATGACAGAGCCAAGTGACTTGGTGTATAGAGAGAATAGGAGAGGGCCTAGAACTGAGCCCTGGGGGACACCCGTGGTAAGAGCACGTGGTGCGGAGACAGATTCTCGCCACACCACCTGGTAGGAGCGACCTGTGAGGTAGGACGCAATCCAAGAGTGAGCCGCACCGGAGATGCCCAACTCGGAGAGGGTGGAGAGGAGGATCTGATGGTTCACAGTATCAAAGGCAGCAGATAGGTCTAGAAGGATGAGAGCAGAGGAGAGAGAGTTAGCTTTAGCAGTGCGGAGAGCCTCCGTGACACAGAGAAGAGCAGTCCCAGTTGAATGACCAGTCTTGAAACCTGACTGGTTTGGATCAAGAAGGTCATTCTGAGAGAGATAACAAGAGAGTTGGCTAAAGACGGCACGCTCAAGAGTTTTGGAGAGAAAAGAAAGAAGGGATACTGGTCTGTAGTTGTTGACATCGGAGGGATCGAGTGTAGGTTTTTTGAGAAGGGGTGCAACTCTCGCTCTCTTGAAGACGGAAGGGACATAGCCAGTGGTCAAGGATGAGTTGATGAGCGAGGTGAGGTAAGGGAGAAGGTCTCCGGAAAGAGGAGGGGATAGGGTCAAGCGGGCAGGTTGTTGGGCCGCCGGCTGTCACAAGTCGCAAGATTTCATCTGGAGAGAGAGGGGAGAAAGAAGTCAAAGCATAGGGTAGGGCAGTGTGAGCAGGACCAGCGGTGACATTTCACTTAATAAATTAGGATCGGATGTCGTCAACCTTCTTTTCAAAATGGTTGACGAAGTCATCCACAGAGAGGGAGGAGGGAGGGGGAGGAGGAGGAGGATTCAGCAGGGAGGAGAAGGTGGCAAAGAGCTTCCTAGGGTTAGAGGCAGAGGCTTGAAATTTAGAGTGGTAGAAAGTGGCTTTAGCAGCAGAAACAGAGGAAGAAAATGTAGAGAGGAGGGAGTGAAAAGATGACAGGTCGGCAGGGAGTCTAGTTTTCCTCCATTTCCGCTCGGCTGCCCGGAGCCCTGTTCTGTGAGCTCGCAATGAGTCGTCAAGCCACGGAGCAGGAGTGGAGGACCGAGCCGGCCGGGAGGATAGGGGACATAGAGAGTCAAAAGATGCAGAAAGGGAGGAGAGGAGGGTTGATGAGGCAGAATCAGGAGATTGGAGGGAGAAGGATTGAGCAGAGGGAAGAGATGATAGGATGGAAGAGGAGAGAGTAGCGGGAGAGAGAGAGTGAAGGTCGCGACGGCGCATTACCATCTGAGTAGGGACAGAGTGAGTAGTGTTGGAGGAGAGCGAGAGAGAAAAGGATACAAAGTAGTGGTCGGAGACTTGGAGGGGAGTTGCAGTGAGATTAGTAGAAGAACAGCATCTAGTAAAGATGAGGTCAAGCGTATTGCCTGCCTTGTGAGTAGGGGGGGGACGGTGAGAGGGTGAGGTCAAAAGAGGAAAGGAGTGGAAAGAAGGAGGCAGAGAGAAATTAGTCAAAGGCAGACGTAGGGAGGGAAAAGTCACCCAGAACTGTGAGGGGTGAGCCATCCTCAGGAAAGGAACTTATCAAGGCGTCAAGCTCATTGATGAACTCTCCAAGGGAACCTGGAGGGCGATATATGACATGGATGTTAAGCTTGAATGGGCTAGTGACTGTGACAGCATGGAATTCAAATGAGGAGATAGACAGATGGGTCAGGGGAGAAAGAGAGAATGTCCACTTGGGAGAGATGAGGATTCCTGTGCCACCGCCCCGCTGACCAGATGCTCTCGGGGTATGCGAGAACACATGGTCAGACGAGGAGAGGGCAGTAGGAGTAGCAGTGTTTTCTGTGGTAATCCATGTTTCCGTCAGCGCCAAGAAGTCGAGGGACTGGAGGGTAGCATAGGCTGGGATGAACTCTGCCTTGTTGGCCGCAGAACGGCAGTTCCAGAGGCTGCCGGAGACCTTGACCTCCACGTGGGTCGTGCGTGCAGGGACCACCAGGTTAGAGAGGCAGCAGCCACGCGGTGTGAGGCATTTGTATGGCCTGTGCGGAGAGGAGAGAACAGGGATAGACAGACACACAGAAAAGGCTACACTAATGCAAAGGAGATCGGAATGGAATTAACTACACATCTGGGGAAACGAGGCCTCCCTCACTAACCTTTCACTGAAACACTCAAATACAACTCTTCCACTTTAGGAATTATAATTGCTGTAATCTACAGTAGTTCAATGTTTCCAGGAATAGACTAACTTAGTTTATTCAGCTAGCTAACTTGGTACAGTATTCTTCTGTGAAAACCGCCCAGTGCACCATATCCTATGACGCCATAGCTAACTAGCATGCTAGCATCCAATAACACACGGTTTAGCACCAATACTTGGTTACAACAAACTACCAATGGATCATTCATGTCCGTGTCTAGTTCCTTTCATAACGCAGAAGTAATTAAACGTTGGCTAGCTAGCACAAAGTCAGTCATGCTAGCTACACAAGTGGACTACACATCTCGAATGTTCAGAAAGTGAAGCTTACGTTGCAAAATTCTCATTGACTAAAATGATAAAGTACTGCTAGCTGGTAATGTTGGCAGCTAGCAGTGGCTGCGGTGTTGACTGTTTGAAAATGTAGCTGGCTAGCTAACCTCGATAGTTTCTCTATACTACACCTTTGTCTTTGATACCAAGACAACTATGTAGCTAGCTAACTTTACACTAATCAAATCGTTCTGTTGAAAAGTATTTAGTTGCTACAGTACTGCTAGCTGGTATTGTAGTGTATTTGACTGAGCCCGGTGAAGCACGAGGCTAGCTAGCTAACCCACTACCTGGACCATTAAAGCTAGCTAGCCTCGTGCTTCACCGGGCTCAGTCGAATACACTACAATACTTACCTACAATAACTACCTACAATAACTACCTGGATAAACTACCTACAATACCTAACTACAATACCTACCTACAATCTAAATGCATGGTTTAAGCAGTGGCTGCGGTGTTGCTACCCGCTAGCTAGCTAGCTTTAATGGTCCAGGTAGTTGGTTAGCTAGCTAGCCTCGTGCTTCACCGGGCTCAGTCGAATACACTACAATACTTACCTACAATAACTACCTGGATAAACTACCTACAATACCTAACTACAATACCTACCTACAATCTAAATGCATGGTTTAAGCTTTACTCGACACATATAAAGAAGAAGCCAAGCTTACCTCCCCGCTTAGAGGAACACAACCTCACCCCATCGCTCCTCAGTATACCAAACATTAGGAACTCCTTCTTAATATTGAGTTGCTGGAGTCAGAGCTAAAGACAAATTACATTATAATGACTGTTTCCCCTTAGTGGGAGAATTCTCCCCACAGATAATGTCCTATAACACACCTACAGGAATTTGCTGTGTCCTAACAGACTTAAATGGGTTTTCCCAAAATGCCCATAAAATAGGCCTAACCACAATGGTTGAGTTTAAAAGCACAATTAAGATCGCAATTGAATTTATATAAAATATTTTATTGGTTTAGTGGTTTCTGAAAACATCTTTTTGATTCATTTATGCATTAAAAAGGGGGTTGTATTCATGCCTCTGTAATAATTCGTAGGCTTAATGGTAATTTTCACGGCTCAAGTGTGCGGTTGTCATTAAAATGTATTTCCTTATTTAACATAAAAAACTAAATGCTTCTCTGTGACATCTGTGATTTTCAAAACCTGCAACGAGTTTCTAGCCCAAAGGGGGGTATTTTCTTGATGATGTCATCGAGGAGAACTTTTTCACTTTATATTTTTTTCTACAAAACTTAGAAATGTGTCATTTTCACGTATGTTGACATTGGTATTGTGCTGGAGATAATGAACATGATGTTGAAATATTGGTGGAGTTGCCCTTTAATACCTCCAGAGAGCTGTATCAGGTCATCTGACACACACCTTTGGTTTCCACCCTATCGTCTGCACGCAAGCTGATCTCGCTTCAGTGCTTATTCAATGCCCCAATAGGATCTAATTTCCATCACTGAAAGTTAGTCTTTTGTCAGTCAGTAATACTAGACTAAGACGAAAATGTCTGCACACTTAGTCAATTGCCATTTATTTGATCGTTTTATATTAGCTAAGCTGTCAGTGAAATTGTTATTATTTACCTTCCTGTATCTTAGCAACCTGTTTGGGGTGTGTGGTAGATTTTGATGCTTCAGTCTGTGACACTGTTTTAATTAATTATTACGTAACATATTTATTATCATCTCTGTGTTCCACTCATCTAATCTGTTCTCTCTCACTCTCTCTCTCTCTCAGTCCTGGACCTCCCCATGTGCCAGGACAGTCTGGAGTCCGAAGACAATCCCTCGGCAGTCCCCTTCTCCCTTTTCCCTGACCCTCGCCTCTGGAGCCCCAAAACATGCCGCCTGGAGGTCAACGTCATCCCCCGCCCGCGCCCCTCCCCCATCCGACCCCGCATCGACCCCTGGAGCTTCATCTCTGCTGGGGGCGGTGGCGGAGCATTTGGTGGTGCCCGCAGCCCCCGACGGTCAGATAGCCACCCATTGGGGTACCAGCCCTCGCCCACCAACCCCTTCACAAACTGTGACCCCTTCCCCTCCCCGGACTGCGACCCATTCTCCCTGAGAGCCGACCCATCGTCAGGCATCACGCCCGACATGCCCTCGCCCTTTGACCCCTTCTCGGCACCGTTCCCCACCTCCCGCTCGGCGCCCTGCTCCACTAACGGGTCCCCAACCCTGCCCACGTTCCGGGTGGCGCCCCTGAACCCGGCCGACTCGCCGCTTATCGACCTGGGCTGGGCGGCGGTGTGCGGGGTCAGGGTCAAGCCCCTGGAGGTCACCAAAGAAAAGATGCGACCCGGAAGGACTCTTGGACTCAAGCCCTTCAAGTCCCCCACGCAACCCAGAGACGATCGCTTCTAAACTAAACCCCCAACCCCGACCTTGCCTTTCTCATAGACAGAGTTTTTACAGGCGTTTTTTTAAAGAATGCGGCCCCCCGCCCCCTAAATGGACAGAGTACAGGTCGTGTATATCCTGTGTTAGGAATGATGAGGATTTGGAGTCCTTTTTAAAACAAAAATGCACATGACCCGCCCCCCGCTCCCCTTTAGGGTAATTGTGGGAAGTGGGGTGCCGAAACAGTGGAGTGGTTTCGTGTTGCCTTAGAAACCAACCAGGAAGCTAATCCTGCCCGCCATCTAGCTCAGTGATAATGGATTGTGGAAGTGGATCCCTGTGCACAACAAACCAATGTCTGATGCCCATTTTATTTCTGGTCTTGTCTTGAGTGGTGAACCTACTTCAGAACCTATTTTCTATGATTTGGCTTAAATGTGCAAAGGACTGGGAGCTAAGGGAAGCTAGGTGCAAGATGTGAGGATGATTCTGGTCTTACCCTTGACAAACAAAAAAGTCTCAAGCATGTTTGTCTCTCTCTTTGCAATAAATAGCATGTGGTGGGTCAATGTGAGAGAGTACTCCAAGTATGGCTACAGAGGTGCCATATCATCCAATCAAAATTCCTTAGAAAGTCTCTGGATATTAAAGCCAAACAAACCCAGAACCCAGGCATTCCGCCAGGAAAAAGATAACATTAAAAACACATTCCCAAAATGCGACTTATTTATTTGGCTGGTCGGCAGGTGACAAAGCATGGGGAGACTAGAGGCGCCACACAGCACATTCCGTTCATGTGCCAAAGAATGCGACTGCTTCGGCCAACAGTGTTATACATGTTCCCCACTACAGTACGGCAGAGTGGTAGGGCACAAAACTATAGCCCCTCCCCCATTTGTCCAGTATTATCTACCAGGATTGGTTCTGTCCAGTCCAACATGGGAATACTGTTAAATCTGATTGGATGAAATCCCGGAAGTAGCGACTTAAAGAAAATCACTAAGTATTACACTAACTTCTTAGTGACTAATTGGCATGTTAGAAGGGAAGCTACAGTATAATAGACTGCAAACAAATTTGGGTAAGATATCCCCTCACAAAAACCGTGTCATTAGAATCCAATGGCTGTTCCGTTCTAGGGGAAGAGTTTACCCAAGTGGCAAGCTTTGTGATTAGTCTTAATGACTGTGCTGACGAACCGGGTGATAATATTAATTAGCATTGTGATAAGGACAGGGTTAATTTATTAACATGGAGATATTTGCCTAATTGATACATTTCCCCCAACATAAAGTTTAGACTAAATGAGTCAGGATCATAAAGGGGATTTAAGCAGCGCTGTCCGTTTTATCGCATCCACGGCAGGAGGCCCATTTAATGAGATTCCAGATTATACAGAAGCCCGCTCCCTTTAGAGCAATGCCTCATTATAAGGGCTTGGAATTTTTCCTGACCAAAGGACATGACCAGGGGCACAGAGTTCTTCCTTCCTGGTCAGGTCACTTGACCGGGGGCCCAGAGTTCTTCATTCATGGTCACGTGACCAGGGGCCCAGAGTTCTTCCTTCCTGGTCAGGTCATGTGACCAGGGGCCCAGAGTGCTTCCTTCCTTCCTGGTCAGGTCACATGGTCAGGAGAGACTCCTAACCTTACCCATCACTCAGATCCCACTTATTCTCAGGTCAGGCAAACTGCTCCTCTCTTGATCCAAAGAGATTGGGTTCCGTTTTCGCTTCACGCCATTGACTACTGACGGGACTGCATCTCAACCTATAAGGTGCCTCCCCTCTCTACCTCTCCCCCTATGTGACGTGCACATAACTACTTAGAGACCTATCATCTTTGATCTTTATCATCGTTCTTACTGAGATTTGTTTGAGGGGCAGGTGTGGCCTGAGACTACAGTATATGTCAACCCCTAAATCTGTCTGTCGTCATTTCATATTCGATAAAGAACAGAAAGTGAGAATTCACTCCAGTAGAAGATACATGTACTATGCAATTTCAATTGTGGTTCAATGGAGATAAACAGCTAGTGGCATCGATGTCTGAGTCTACAGGGGTAGGCCAGTGGTCTAATCATCACCAAAGGACAAGGAAATGGCCAAGGATGTTTCATATTTAGGATTATAAAAGTAATCTGCAAAAATGAGTTTTATTCCCATTCATAGTATTACATATTCGTATTTCAAAAGGGTCCTCTCTAGGTTTAATTGTTAGATTTGTAAAGCAGCCATGCAGTGCCCTGTGACACTCAACGCTTAAATACACAAAATGCACTCTTATTGTACTGACTTATGGTCCAACCCAACAGCCCACGGTGTGTGTGCATGCGTGCCAAAAAAAGTAGTGCACTACTTTTGACCAGGGCCCTATATAGGGAATAGGGTGCCATTTAATATAGATCTCCTCAGCTCTGGGCCCCTTGGCTTTCCCCTCTCCCATCACAGAGTCATCTAAAGCTGTGGCAGGTGTGTTATTGCCTACAATACTAATCCATACTTGAATCCTGCGCTTTAGCCTCAACATACAAGTTAACAGACAACCCCTGTAACTCCCATAGGGACAGGATGAAACTGAGACTGATGGTCGAAATCGTCGCAAGAGCTTCAGTATTGCTGCCTGTCCATCTTTCTCGTCATGTGTCAGTCAGTCTGTCTAGACACCGAGCCCTCATAATCCGGCTCAGTTCTTCACCGTCTTATCTGTAGACTTTAATTTCCCTTAGACCACACGCTGTCAGTCAGATGCGTCCAACCCCTTAAAGGTTATAGTGTAGTACACAGATAACCCAAAAGAGAGTTTACTCAACTTATGCCTCTCTGAATTGTTGTGAGGTTGTATGTTTGCCCTACTAAGGGCAGAGTCACTATCCACCTAAGTGATGATCTTGTGTAGATTATATCAGTTTGACTATATTTTATCATCTTAGGTCAAGAGTCAGTGATAGGTTTGAGGAGTGTGTTTTGATCTTGGCAAGCCATCAGACAAACAGATACAGTGGAATCTCCCCTTCATGTTGGGTGTCACACTACAATGGTCCTTTAGTGAGATTGAACATTTACACTTTTCTTGAAGTAACTAGCTGTATTTATTATGGATCCCCATTAGGGTGACAGACTGACTGACACATGACGAGACAGACGGACAGGCAGCAATGCTGAAGCTCTTGTGATGATTTCGACCACCAGTCTCAGTTTCATCCTACTCTTCCTGGGATCTAGCCAAATTAAGGCAGTTATACAAATATAAAAACATTACAATACATTCACAACACATTAAGTGTGTGCCCTCAGGCCACTACTCTACTACCACAAATCTACAATACAAAATCCATGTGTATGTGTGTGTATAGTGTGTATGTTATCATGTGTGTGTATGCATGTGCCTGTGTTTGTGTCTTTTACAGTCCCCGCTGTTTCATAAGGTGCAAAGGTCATTAGACAATTACCTTTCGGTTGTACACAAAACATCAAATTCACTCATGATGTCTGGATAGAATCAAAAGTCTACCTTAACTCCCTGGCCTTAACCCAATTGAAAGACAAAACCCTCCTCCCCCTTGTTTCTCTCTTTGATTCTCTTCATGGTCTTCTAACCTGGTCACGGTGATGACAGGTTTTTGGACAGGAAACTAGATTCCTCGAATGCTCCTAGAATGCTGTCGGGTCGCGCTGCCGGTCCCTAGATTGATGCGGATGACAGGCGGTGCTCCAATAAGAAACTCCTGACGAGTTGTTTGTGACGCGCCGCCCTTTCAGGCATTGCCTCATCCGTCATCGCGAATCAGCGCCCCCCATCCGTGCTGACAGGCCGAATGAAACAGAACTTTGCAGAGGAGGAGAGGAAGGTATGGCTGTAGGACAAATACTGGCTTCATTCATGCTTACTTTGTCCATTTGTGTCAAGCTTTGAGGGGTATCAGTTAGTAACATAACCAAATTATTGAAGCTATTTTATTTTCACTTAGCAAATCGCATCGGGTCTATTACGGTAATTGCTTCCTGCCTCAGCCAAGGCATGCTCTCCCTCTCCTTCATCGTTAGTGGAGAATTAGTGCCGGACTCGGCTCATTTACCCAGCATCCTCGCTACTTACCTGGACTGAATGAATCATTCAAATAAACCCGATTTATGGCCTCCATTTCCATCTTCTCGCACCCAGCTATTATTACCAGAGGGGGATTATGTCTCTTTGTGAACACCTGCCTTTGTTCTGCATGATGTTGTCAAACAAAATGATTAAAGATGACCTTTACCAACCGTGAGGGGAAAATGGCCTCTAGGGACCCAACAACGTGTCTGTGTGAGGCTAAACCAATACCAGGTGTAGCCTAGTTCTGAAGCTAGCTCTTAAGCGTATTTCTCATCCGTTTTAGTCCGATCACTCTTCAAGGTCACCATCTGTTGTCCGCTCGTTCAAAAGATAACACTTAAGAGCCCTAAATCGAATAAATGAGGAGACAGATTTGTTTCCAAGACAACCACACTACAGCGGCTACCCAGAATTCAGTTCAGTTCATAAAGTGTGGGGAAACGACGCATGGACCAATCTGTGGTTATTTAGTTCCAAGGTCTAGATGCGTCTCCTCCGTAGCCAAACTGCCGTTATTATTGTCCGGTTTGACTATTGACCGAGTGTTATGAAAGAAAGCCGTTACCGGTACGAGCAATTTAACAAAGATGTGTCAAAAGCACATGCGCGTGTAATTGTTTCGTCTAAAGCCAATGGCTCCCTCTAAAGTGTACTTTATTTTTAATCATCCCTGTGCCAAAAATACATTCCTTGCACAAAAGCATATGGAACAAAGAAATGGAATAAATCTAATTAGAATATCTCTGATGGAACCGTCAAGATTTTAAGATGTTGATAGAGAGGGTGACCCTGTCAACCTGAATTAGACTGAATCCGATCAATTAAGTATCTGATTTCTCTTTTCCTTGTCCTTTGGTTCATTTGAGTAAACATTTCATATTTCAAGATATTTGGGGGTATTAGTTGGTATAGGTCATCTCACTCGAGTCC